TGCTGGGGGATTGAACCGCGGTCCCTGTGCTTTGCTAAGCTTGTTCTAAGTAGGTGCTTTAGACCACTGAGCCATCTCACCAGCCCTACACCTAGTTTTAATGCTGCTTCCTGTTTTGTCATTTTGGGTTCAAACCCACCTCTGTAATAGCCACCACTGAAGGAAGATTCTGGCAGACTCTGAAAAGCTTGTTTTACTTGAGGCTCCCTCCACATGCTTCACGGCTTGTAAGACATACTGGCCATGTTTCGGGCCGGCTCTCCTGCCTTAACTGAGGGTGCAGCTCATCGCAGCCCAAAGGCCATGACCACGAACTACCTGCCTTTACCAAAAAGCGACACAACCACCACCACTATTCCCAAACCTCCCAAGTACACGAGCGCTACTATATGACAAAATATTAATAATTCTTGTTCTTTTCAAATGCTTGAAAACGTTGAAGTAGAGGGAATACTTCCAGCCACATTATGCGAGCGTTACCCATGACCCCGACAGCACAGACGAAGATGCCGCAGGAAAAGTAGACTACGGGCTGCTACTCCAGTGGATGAAGATGCAAAACTTCTCAACAAAACATAAGCAGCCCAGGTCTAAGGAAACATGAGAAGCGTCATCCACCATGATCAAATAGGATGCCTTTAGGACTTAGCACTAGTTCAACATGTGCAGATCAATACATGCAGGCTTTTCACTTCTCGGCCTTTTGGCTAAGATCAAGTGTAATACATGTAGGCTGAAAATTATAGAATCATCTCAAGCAACAAAGAAAACTCATTTGACAAAATTTAATGCCCTTTGGTGTTAATTTAGAGTCAATGTAGCAGTATTAATTATAATTTTTAGATATGTATGCTCTTTGACCCATAATTTTACTTTCCAGTACCCACTACAATACTTACAAATGGGTACAAAGAGATATATGCAAGTATTTACCCTACATATCTAATAGTCTAAGAAATATACAATATTTACCAATATGAGAATAGATTAAATGAATGATAGTAATATCAACAGAATTAAATACATTTTCAATTTTATTTTTTATTAGTACATGTTTATAGTACATAATGATTATAGCATCAAATACAACATTTTATTTATTGTTTTGTCCTGAGACAAGGTCTCGCAATGCAGTTCAGGCTGGCCTTGAACTCACTTTGTAGCCCAGCTGGCCTCGAACTCACAGCGATCCTCCTGCTTCAGCCTCTCGAGTACTGGCATTACACACTGCACCATTACAACTGACTTAAATACAACATTTTAAAAGTGCTCTCGGGCTGGAGAGATGGCTCAGTGGTCTAAAGC